TCTGTCTGTTATTTTATTTGAATTTCTGTAGTGCCCTTGAGCTGTATTTTTAAAAATATTTCTTCCACTTCTCACCTACCTTGTATCGTGTTGCAGGTTGAATTGGATTTGGACGGAGTCTGTGATTGTTCTCTAGGCCTAGTCCTGGCTGTTCTTCTGGTTTCCATGACATTGAAAGGAGAAAATTAGGTATGTACTCGTTTTGAAATAATTTTATCAAGCTGGCTAGGTTTCAGGTGATTCACTTTATGTAGCATAGGAAAGTTGATTGGTCACATCCATGTTTCCACTTTACGTATTTTGTCAGCTTCTTTGTGTGTTGCGTGCTGCCGGCTATTTATCATATTAATTTAACACTACTTTTCCAAAGGCTGCCTTTAATTTAAAGTCCATAGGCCGGTTAATCTTTTTTTCATTTATCTTGTGTGTCTATCACCATGCTTTATTTAAATTTTGTCTTTGTTTTTCAGATTATCGTTGATTGTCTATGAGATTATGAATGCCGTCTTCATTCCACCATGGCTGTCTGGGAACAGAACTTCCAGCTCAGGCCTGAGGTACGCATCCTCTAAGTTAACCTTATCTTTCTTCATACTTTATTTCAGGGGGACAACTTTGTTTCAAGAATCAATTTATTGAATATGAGTAACATTTCTTTTAAATTGGTGACACAGTTCTGTTTATTTTTCTTTTTATCTGTTAACCTCATAAAGGCTGAAACTTCTTGATTTATTTAAGCCCACAAGTATTCAGATGGTAAATCTTGACATGTCAAATGATTTGTTTTAACCAATTAAATGTCTTATCTTATCCCTTGAGAAGCCTAATGGTGGCGTGTTAATTGTTTTTGTACTTCCTCTCATCCGTCTCGTATCCTGTTCCAGGTTGTCTTGGATTTGGAGTTTCCTGCTTGTTTCCCTGCCCATTCTTCTGGTATCTGCAGCTCTGAAAACTAGGTATGTGCTTGCTTTATGGGTAAATTATTTCCAACTTACCTAATTTTCAGACAGTTTATTTTCTATGGCAAGTTGATTGCTATATATGATTATGTTGTGGCATGAAAACTTCAGTTTTTTTTTCTCTTTGTTTGTCTTCAAAACAGTTACTTGTGCTCATTGATTTTGGTCTAACTAGTTTCATATTTGAAAAAGCTGTTCAAACCATGCTTATGCATTCACCACAAAGGGCTGCCCCAACATTCATGACTGTGTTTTGTCAGCTTTCAGTGTTACATTTAGCTTACAATTCACATAACCAATTTATTGTTTTTGACTTTAAAACTATCTATTCTCTCGGGTCTATTTAATTGTGATCCTGTGATCTTGTATTTCAATCAACATGTTAAATAGTTTGCCTTTCTCTTTTCAGCTTCAATGAATGCCAACTCAATTCCACGATGGCCATGGCCCTGCAAGAACACTTGGCCCAGCAGGAACAGAACTTCCAGTTCAGGTGCGCATTACATTTAAATAAGTAAACCTTATAACAATTAAATTCACGCTGAGAACTAATTAATATTATGATTAAAAAGGTTTTCAAATATCATTGGTGACACATCCATTTATTCCTTCGTGTAGAAAATTCTTAAATTCTGGAAAATTGAATTGATTTATTCTTACCCATTTCGCCTTTTTGTTTTCTTTCAGGTGCTCAGCATGTGACCTCAGCATTGTCGGGTCTGGTCCATTTGCTTTGCATTTCCGGAGAGTTGGTCATGATTTACCAATTCAGTGTGGCCAAGGTCAATGCGAACACCTCTTCAATGCTCCCAAATCCCTTCTACGCCACATCAGAGATATTCACTTTCTACAAGTAGAGCCAGGCAGAGCAGACAACGAAGAGGCTGGTAACCAGCAAGTACCAGAAAACCAACAGGAAGCTGGGAACAACGAAGGACCAGGCAACCAACAAGAAGCTGGGAACAACCAAGGAGGCAATAATCAAGATGGAGAAGCTCGAGGAGGTGAAGATTTGGACAATCTACAAGCTGCAATTCAAGACATTGATTTAACGAGATCTGCCGCAAGAATGGTTCTAAACCTCAGGCAAAGTGCAATGACAACAGCTAGTATTCAACGAATGCAACATGAATGTTTTAATATGATGGTTGATACTAGTAATTTAATCAAGTTAAAGTTAATTGATTTTTTTAGAAATGAACAGATCAATACTCCAGCTTCAAGGCAACTTTTAAGCGAACTAGTTGTCTCAGATCCATTCATTCATCTCAGAACTATGAAGCAACAGCTCAATTATTTTGCTCGGGAAATGGGCCTTGTGGTCCCCGTACCAATGTTTTTGGATTGGCGACCAGATTATAGATTGAACCCTCAGACTAATCAGTATGAGCCAACGCAAGTTCCAATGACCTTTGAATACATTCCCATCATTGAAACTCTAAAGCTGATATTGTCTAATCCCAAGCTGAGAGATCTCATTAATTCAGAAGAACCAAGTAGTGATGGTGTGATGCGTTCATATTTAGATGGCTCAAGTGTGAAGAAGAATGACCTGATCTCTCAGTATCCCCATACATTACGCATTCAACTGAATTGGGATGATCTGGAAGTCACCAATGCTCTTGGGAGCAAAACATCTATCCATAAGTTGGCCGCCTTCTACTTCAGCCTTCAGAACTTCCCACCAGTGGAAAACTCCCAACTGGCTACTGTGTACCTACTAGCCCTTGCATATTCTGAAGACATCAAGGCAATGAAAGGATTTGATAAAATTTTGGAGCCATTTCTCCAAGATTTGAAGAGATTGGAATCCGCCGAAGGAGTTACAGTTAGAATAGGTGATGAGTTGATTTGCATAAGAGCCACTCTTGTAGTTCTTTGTGCTGACTCATTGGCTGCTCATGATATCCTAGGACTTCTGAGCCCAAGTGCGAGACATTTTTGTCGCAGTTGCTTGATTTCAAGGCAAGAATTGCATCGAGACTGCACAACTGTTGGAGAACCCCGAACTGCAGAATCTTTTGCAGCTCATGTAGAACAGGTGAAAACTACACCAGCCTTTTCCCGTGAGTGTGGCGTTAAAAGGGATTGTCCCTTAAAGAAAGCCAAAAACTTCTCTGTTCCTGAAGATGCTGTTTTTGACATCTTCCATGACATGCTTGAAGGTGTCTGCCATCTGGTGATCATCTTGGCACTGTATGCTTTTGTTGTGACGGACAAATTTTTCTCATTGAGTGTATTTAACGCTCGTGTGGCTGCATTCAATTACGGGATCCCTGACAGTAAGAACCGCCCATCAGTCAACATTACTGAAGAGAAATTGAAGAACAAGAAGAATAGAAAGTTGAATCAGTCTGGTATTCAGATGTGGTGTTTGGTTCGTGCATTTGGATTTTTAGTTCCAGAAGTGCCAGAAGACCATCCTCACCTTCGATTAGTGAACTTTCTTCAAGAGATCATGTTGATTTTATTCTCTAGAGCACACCGACTTCTAGATAGTGACAGATTGGATGAGCAGATTTCAAGTTTCCTTCGCCTTTTCCAAACTTTGTATGTTGGGGATGTTGTCGATGATGAAGAGGGAGAAGAAGAGGAAGAAGAGGATGTTGATGAACCTGAGGAAGTTGAGGAGCCTGCTCCTCCCAGAGCTTTTGTGCGTGCTGCTACGCCTGCAAGGAAAGTGAAGCCTATAAATAAATTGCACCACATGGCCCATTTTTGTGCCATGTTAAGGAAATTTGGGCCTTTAATTCTATATTGGTGCGCCAGATATGAGGGGAGGCATCACATCTTTTGCAAGTATGCAGCAGTGTGTTGTAATTTCATCAACATTCCTATGAGTATGGCTCAAATGCACCAGATAAGCACGCTTTGTGCTATGTTGAAAAGCACCTATCGTGCAGAAGAAATAGAACTTCATTCACCATCAGAGACCACTGTCAGAGATTCTCAACATGCTGCACTCTTAATGGCGAAGGGTCTCCAAGAAGAGTCAATCGTCTTCAGCGTTCAGTCAGTAGTCATTGCTGGTGAAGACTATCGTGCAGGGCTCTTTGTGATAGCTGATGCATCCCCCTGCTTTGCAATAATTCAGCACGTTTATGTTCATGAAGAAACAGTCTATTTTGTCATAGTAAAATGGGAAACAGAAGAGTTTGTCAGAAGATATTGTGCTTATCGCATCAAAGCATGTCCTGTTAATGAACCAATGCTTGTGGCCCACAAATCGTTACAGCATCATGGATCCTATGCACCCTGGAATCCTTTCAATCAAAGGATCACCCACATTGCCCCAAGGTTTCTCATTTTCTAAAGAATGTGTGAATTTGTACAGTTATCCCGCAGTACCTGAATTTTTGTACTAATTTATTATTTATTATTGTCCTGTGACAAGCATTTTGTTTTCCTTCATAGCATTATAGCCCTTTCCCGGAGATATTGTTCCCTAAAGATACCAAATTGGGCTTAGTTTATGTGTCAAATTCAAGTGCCAAAGCCTTAGGACTTCATTCCTCTTAATTTATGTTAGGTTTGTTAGAATTATCAAAGTTCTTTGTATGTTTAGTTCTAGCTCTTAGCAGATAAAGTTTTTTGAATTCTACTTGTATTTTCTGAGATGGTACAGAAAGAGAGAGAGAGAGAGAGAGAGAGAGAGAGAGAGGGAGTACAAAATTTAACTGTCAATCAAAATTCTTCCAGGTTTAGTTAGGTGTGCAGATTAGGTATTCTTAATGATGCTTGTGTTTTCTGTGATGGTTCTGAAGAGCGAGAGAGAGAGAGAGGGGAGTACCTAATTTAATTGCCAAAGTTCTGTTTAAGTTTAGTTCTTTAAGTATGCAGACATAGCATTCTGTATGTTGCTTTGTTTTCTGTGAAGGGACAGAAAGAGAGGGAGAATCTAATTAAACGTGTGATTAGTAAAGTAGTTTTCTTTTTATTAAACAGACCTCCCCTTTTTTCCATAATATATAATTATCACAATAGAATCACTTTTGCTATAGCAAAGAAAAAAAAACATGTTGACAAAACACTGTCATTATTTCATACTTCATGAATGATTATTACTGTTTAATACACAAGAAAGAATTATACAGTACTTTTCTAAACACGGATCTTTGATAAATTCAAACAGTACCCTGTGATTCTACCCTCATGAGCAAATCCTTCATAGTATTTGTCAATTTGTTCTGATTAAGCTTGTAGAATCCCCACTCAAGAAATTCAAAGAAGCGAGTCCATCCCTTAGGGTAATTCACATCAAAGACATGATACATTTTGAAAAGCACATCAAGTCCCTTTACAAATGACGAGGATTCAATCTTGATGGTTTTGTTGTCAGCAACGGCAAACATTCTTGTTATAGTTGCCCCTGGCATGAGAACAATGAGGTAGGGCTGCACTGGCCCAGTAGAAGCAATCCTTTTCTGTTCGATGATGGTTCTCACATCTGTGCCAGCCTGAAAAAGGAGAGATTAAATTTTGTAATTCAGTAACAATGAGATAAAAGAGATCATAGAAAAAAGAATATCAACTTACAGGGATTATTTTGGCTAGATTTTCAAGTTCAAATTTCTCCTTTTTGCCTCTCCCAAACCTGCTCAAATTCTGCCATGGCATTTTCTCTACAATCCAAAGACATCCTTGGATATCATCTAAAAAGAAGCAAGCAAACAGGTTGAATAGTGCTTTACATAAGAACGATAATCTTAGTACGGTAAAATCCTATAAGTGACTTGCCGTTTGTTATGTCGTCATCAAGAGGTGGCAAAGTTTCAAAGCTTTTTAGCTTCGAAATAAAAACTGGCAGGGTTTGAAGCAAAGCCGAATGGTTCAAATCTGGATGTAATAATTTGAACTCTTCTTCAATCTGAAATTAATTAATGTGAAGAATTAACAAATGAAAAATATATTACTGCAAGCACAAGAGATATAGAACTTACAAGTTCTCCATCATATGAAACAAGATGAGGGAATTTGTCTAGTACATCATTGATAGTTGGGTGAGTGCTTTGAATCCAAGCCTTTCTTGCCGCAAAACTGTCTTTCATCCCTTTTAGAATGTTTTTGCGTTCTCCAGCATTGGGAACCACAAGACTCAGCCAAAAGAACTTGAAGAAAAGGGAAATAAAAAACACAGAATCAGTAAACAGTAAGGAAAAAAAACTTTACCTGCTCTTGTTTAAATAATTGTTTCAAGTTCTGTTTAAACTGGCATTGAGCAGTAATTGTTTTGCTTTGACTCACATCATCAACTTTTGAGGCAGGTGCACTGGCACCAGGTGATGTGCTAGCACCATCATTAATCGAGTCTGGATCATCTTCATTATCTGGTTCAGCAGCGCAATCCTTATCATCTCCCTTTCTTTGTAGGTGGGATATGACATTGGGAATTCTACCCCTATTCATTTTCCTATCATAAACACGCCACTGGGGGAAAGAACAAAAAATACTGAATTATGTAAACTTAAAAAAACAGCATCATTTAAAACTATGATAAGACACCCCTTACTACTCACCCAGGTCCACTTTCCCTTATCTGTGGTATCTGCAAAAAATGGAAATCTCTTCACAATTGAAGCAGCCAATCCTTCCTTCTGATCTGATGTCACACTGCTATTGTAAGAGCTGCAAAAAATCCAGTCATAATTAAAAGCAATATTATAAAGAAAATTTTATGTCCAATAATAAAAACAATAGAAGGGTACCCATCACTTCCACAGAAGACCCGAAGAACCAGAGTTCTGATCAGTAGTTTAGAGTGAGCTGTTGTGAGAATGGCGTTTTCTTTGAGGGACTTTTCAAGCTCTCTTATATTCCTCCCCTTTGTTTTTGACAGAATGCTGTCAATGTCATACTAGAAAGAAAAAGTTAAAGTTAAAGGTACTACAACAATAAGCATGGACTACGGTCATTGCTTATCATATTCTCACTCAACAACATTGAGACGATGAAGTTGAAAAATTATATTTCTGAGTATTCAGAAAGTATATAAGCGAATTGTAAGAAATAACTGTTCTTTGTGCACTTTTCATTGTGCCTTATCAAGGAGTGGCAAGAGCTTACATTTCGAAAGTATAAGGAGTAGAACAAGCTTCAGAGAAGCAAAGACAGAAAGGTTGATGCCTTCCGGTATGAAAGATAATTGTCATGGCAGCAACTACCCATTTGGTTTATTTGAAGGGATCTGCAGTGACAGATTAGCTTAATCGTGTAACTTAAGATATTAAACTTTTGTTCTGTTGCTTCTATAAACCTAGCTCTGCTTCTTATAATTAACAGATTTAAAGAAGCTCTTTTCATTCCTTAGTAACGCTGCTTCTAAAGTACATTAAGAAAAATATTTTTTTCCTACTTGTTTGCTATTTTCTCTCATCCAATACCATTAAAAAAGTAACTGTCACAAGAACTTTAGTGAGAATATCATGAGTCCACTGACTTGGTAGCATAGCTACTAGTAATAAGTTAACTTACTGATGGAAGCTTGGCAACAAAGTCATCTTCTTTTAATTTTGGCTTAACCTTCTTTAAAATTGGCTTATTCTGGCATTCAGACAGAACTTTGGGTTTGGAAACGGTTTTATCTTGCTGAGCCAATTGTTTCTGCTGCTGAGCAAATGACTGATTTGCAAAAAATTCTGCTCCAGAACTGAAACTTTCTCGACTTGAACCTGCATCCTGGTTGTTCCTCTGCAAAACAAAGATCTCAACAACAGAGAGAAAAAACTTAATTTATCCATTAAAATTTGGCAAGTATCACTTACATTATCCGTTATTTTCAACTTCTTCTTTGGTTGCATGAACTGGGGAATAGGCACAACCATTCCAAGTGGAGCTAAAATGCAGGAAATACGCATAACAATTAAGAAATGAGACCAATCTGATGTTATGTTTTTCTAATACATGTTAAAAGTCCTAGCAAAAGGCAGCAGTTTGTCATTCAAACCTTTAGCGGTGGTTGCTTCATACTTCCGCTTGATGTTCATGTGAACTTCCTTATCATATTCACTCATTTCCATGAATTCTTCGGTGGAGAAATATTTCATTATCTCTTCATACTTGTCACCGTGATCATCTGTACTTTGTTGGGCTTCCTGCAAACAAAGTAAAATTCAATGCAGGTAGCGTCAACTAGGAACTTAGCAAATGAACTACAATTAAATAGATTAGGAAATGATGGAGTTGTACCAGAGAACCAAGTGCACCCTTTGATGATTTGATAGTTTTATCAGATAACATATCCTCCTTCTGAGCAAAAAGACATGAGATCAAAATCAGAAAACTCACATACAAGCATCATAAGAGTGGGTGTACTTACAACTGCATCAATCAAAGCCTTCAGGTCCATGGCAACTCCATAAGGAATCCCAAGGTTAAAGAAGTCTTGGGTAGTTAATTTTATTGCATTTTTTCCATTGATCCTTTGATCTGAAAGGAATTTTGTGAAAGTGTGAGGGGACTCAAAGAGAAATGCATGAAACAGACACACTCCGAAACAAATTGAAAAGTTACCTTTCAAGGTAGTCAACGCTGAACTGATATCATCATCTAGTCCAATCACTGCTGATGAAGATTCCGCATATTGTTTAAGGGTACAGAAAAGCTGCTCAGAGCTCAGTGCCTCCATAATGTACTTCGCTTGAATGTCTTGATGGACTTGGAGGAAATACGCGCCACCGACGCAGCGAGACAACTGACCATCAAATATGAGAAATTGCATGGAACGATATTATGAAAAATCTGGCGAAACGAAAAAGCTGCTGCCTTGGCAAACAGACGCTGACAGAAGTTTTTTTTACCTTTTGACACTGATTTGACATTGATTGAATCAATTTACTTACATTAAACAAGGTTTCTTAAAATTTAAAAACTTATTGCAACTCTTGCATAGCAGTTTCGTTCAAATAAACCAAAAAACTTGAAAAATTGTGCGACGCTAACGACATCTAGCGGATGAAACCCTAAGGGCCTAACTTTTCTGCTATAGGGCTCGTGCATTGGCGTACCGTTATGTCACTGCCGGGTAAAGGACACGAAAACGTTCTCTCGCGAACTGAGTCTGGAGCAGCCGACGCCAAAGAAATTGATCGAATCTTGCAAATTATCTGCCTCTCGAGCAAAACAAAACGCTGTCTAGAAACAGAAAGTTTGCTCTTTCACCAAGTGCTTCAGAGAGCTTAGTTGATACTTTCTGAAACTAGGCTTGACAGAAAAGAGGCGCGGCAGTTCAAACAGGGCTGGAGGGTCAGGCCACGATTTACCACCTTTATTCGAACCTTTGAAGGAAATATTGAAGAATTAAGGTTACGGAGTACTGTTTGTGTGCTGAGGAACGAACTCTCAACATAGATCTGGTAAAAAATCATCAGGGTTTTTAAATATTGCTAGTTTTGAGCGTCTACTGGCGTCGTCTGCTGGTCTCAGTTCGTGAAATTGTCATACTTTCGTACCGCCATATTTCGCGTAATGAACGAGCCCTATGCTCGTCCACTATTTTTGTTGTTTTGTCAGTCAAAACACTACTGAGTGAATTGTAAACAAGACATCACTTTATACATTACGCGATCTGTTTAAAACAACACTTTCCCAGTGAAAACTAAAGTTTGCATTGAGAAGTTGTGTCTTTTAAATTTACCGGCCTGCAACGCAGTGGCCGCAGGACCCGGCCGGCGCAGCAGACGGAATCTGTAAGTGGCTGCTTGTGGCTTCTCTATCTTTAGAAAGAAATGTTTGCTGTTCTAATTCTTTTAGCTGTGATTTCTATGAAAATTATTGATACTCAGAAACAATGCATTCTCATAAGTTGTTTGCTCTGATGCAATGGAGGGTGTTCTATCGAAAAAAAACACCTGTTGTGTTCAACTCAGGTTAGGTTTACTTTGCCCAAGCAATGCATTACTCCCTAAAGAATTTTGTGGTAAATTGGGTCTGTTTCCACGAGATTTTTATTCAGAAACCGTTGCATACAAATTTCGCCTGTACTTCAATTGAAGTATTTAAGGTGCCACTGCAATCAACTCATTACTCATTGCTTTTCACTGTGACTTTCGAGTACTTTCGGATGAGCGTTTTCCAAGGAATGAAAATAGCTGTCCAAAATCAAGTAGGGTCTTGCAGCTTGCTGTGCTGCAGGACCTTACTAGATTTAAGACAGCTATTTTCATTCCTTGGTAACGCTCATCCAAAAGTACTCGAAAGTCAAAGTGAAAAATAATGAGTGATGATTGATGAGTTGGTTGTAGTAGCGCCCTTAGGTTTCAAGCCCGTTCTTCATTTTAATCAATATACATTGATGTTCTTAATGTTACTATTATTTCTGACCACAATGCTTTGAATATTGAATTATCCTTGTATTTCTCTTTACCCTTTTTTGTTGCAGGTATGGTCAATGTAGTTTGAAGCATTCTGGCTCAGCGCAAAGTTGTATTCTCTTGTCTTGAAACTACCAGGCCGTTTGGTTTTTAATTAGCATGGAAAACAGAACACTGACAACAATAATTTGTTGTCAAAGAAAAATTTAAAGGGAAATGTAGGTACGATTTTTAATTGCATCTAGTTTTAAGAGTTTTATTACTTGTGTTAACTGATCTCTTTGCTTTCAGGACCCATACAAACTGCAATGAGGACTCCATGACCTTTTCTAAACTGCGGCAAACTTGCAATCACGTCTGGTTGAGCTTTATTGAAACGAACTTTTCCCATGGGTTGGTGAGTAAAATGTAGGTACGATTTTTAATTGCATCTAGTTTTAAGAGTTTTATTACTTGTGTTAACTGATCTCTTTGCTTTCAGGACCCATACAAACTGCAATGAGGACTCCATGACCTTTTCTAAACTGCGGCAAACTTGCAATCACGTCTGGTTGAGCTTTATTGAAACGAACTTTTCCCATGGGTTGGTGAGTATAATTAGCGAACTTAAGTTAGTGGTCTAAGTCAACATTATCCAATAAATTTCTTTTCTTTTTCTAGTGCCTTTCAGATGTTTTTTCCCCTGAGTCACAAATTTAAATTTCAAATCTCTATCACACCAGAAATGAGCATCTCAGGTCAGCACCCTAAACACCTATTTTCATTGAAGTTATACACCCTATTTCACCACATTTTGACTTGTATTGTCGTTATCTCTTCTTCTTTACAGAGGCAAAGTTTGTGCTTTGTTCCACACATGAATGCAGAATGACGGTGAAGATTCAAGATGGAGTTGTGAAAATCAGTGCAACCAGAAGCAGTAACCCAGGCGGAAGTTTAGTGGAAGCACAACAATTTAATTGAGGACAGTAGTGAGTTACAAGTGAGTAAATTTTTTTCAAAAGAAAGCCTTTAAATAAAATTTATATTTCTTTTTCTTTCTCCCATTGATGTTTTGTTTCATCTTATTTTTAGCTTGTACCTCTGCACTGAAACAGAGTCAAAAGACTGTCTCTATGCTAAACCACGAGTTCCCCTCAAATAAAGATTGGGAGAGCACATTTTTTATCATGGATTCAGGTTTGTTTTTCTTACATTCATAACAAAATTATTAAGGTTCCAGCCAAATATTTTATTAAATTTTTAATCTTACAATGGTTTTGTTCTTCATCTAGGAGTTGTTTAAAGCTGACAGCAACTACACTACATGCATCGCAGAAGCAGTCAAAAGCAAATGATAAGTCAAGTTGCAGGAAAATACAGCTCGTGAGGTGCAGCAATCGTAGTCGCAGGGTGGACAAAGCAGTGGAAGCTCCAGGTAAAACACCAAGAGTGACGCAAGTAGCCAGTGTTGAGCACCCTTTCACAGCAGCTGTAGTCTTTGCAGTAAAGACAACATCACTGCCACTGTTAGCTCCAGGAACTGTAACAGAAGTCCATGCATGATAAATTCCAAGGCTTTTCTGGAACTTCGCTAATGCACCTATTGCCATGAACATGCAGTGAAATGAACAATCATAGATTCGCCTCGAGTATTGAAGCTTGTCTCTAAATAAAATTTCGATATCATGTTAAATAAATAACATCTTTTTTTATTTTTTTGTTACAGGAATGAAATGCTTAGTGTTCAGCATACATTCTCTGAAGGGTTGAAGAGGTAGATGTGAGAGATTTGAACAGTCGTCAGGGAGCTTCATAACTGAAATCTCTTCAAGCAGCCCCTGCCTCACACATTGAGATTCCACGCCAGGAGCCAACCTGCTATCCGGCCGAGATGGAGCCCCTGCAGTGTAGAGGGTAGGCAGCCCGCTGGACAGGTATGCAGTGCGGGCGTGCCTACCCCCCGGTCTGCAGGGGCTACAGGGACAAGGGAGGACTGCTGGCGCCTGCCGCTGCTTGAGGCGGCTCCTGCCGGCACCTGCGCAGCCTTTCCCTCATCCCCCGCTTCGCCCCACTCTTTCCTCTTTTCTGTAGACCATAGTATTATTTTTCTATAAGCCGCAGTAAAAGTTTGCTATGATCTTTTTCTGTGGTAAGGGGTATTGAAATGCACGTTTTTTTGAATTCCATACCGGCACACCCGGAAAAGGGTTCATTCCTACCTAAAACCACCGCAAACCAAATTTGAGACCGATCGAAAAATATTTAGGGGTCGCTACAATGGCTGAAAGTTGTAAATTTGACGTAATTTTAAACAAAATACAACTTTGGAGTATTTGAAGCCCTGCGCATCCGGTGTTGGTCCTAGCTTGTTGCCCCCGGAGACTTTTTTTTTCTCGGGATCCAGGCCGACCGAAAGAACCCTACGGGATGCGTTTTTAGCGAATGGTAACGGAACTGGGTCCATTCTACGCTCAAAAAAGTGTTTTTTTCTCCGCTTTTAGTGTTTTAGAGGCCTGCCAAACTTTTGCTTTGCTTCACAAAAAATCTAAACCCATGTATTTTGATAGAAAAAAGGTTGCTCTTTCAAATGGCGGTCACGGAAACAGTCTACGATTTTTGGTTTAGGCTCCAGAGCCGTTTTAAGTTGAAAAATGGATTTTATTTTAGTGAAAATGAGAGCAAATTTTCACTCTTAGTCACGTGCGACGTATGGTTTGGCCACTAGCGCTACCCGGCGAAGTGCAGGCGGTGCGCTGTGATGGGAGAAGCTTCCCGGGTAGAAATGGACGGCTTTTATACAGCTGCTAAATATTTTATGACCAAAGTAACGCGCAGGCGTTTGAAAAATACCTGGATTATGTTTGGACTGTGTCAGCAAGATGTCGACAAAATATTCGGATATTTTGTGGACGTTTCGGCAGTCTCTGGCCGGCCGACGTCGTTTTAAACGACCTTAAAAAGATGCCCAGATGGCAAAGACAAAATATCGGCAAAGAGCTGCCGCATCGCCGGCCGCAGCAGCAAAAGAGAGACCACTGGCGTCGATCCACAAACCTGCCGCTTGCGAGACAAGAGCGGATCTACTGGGCGCTGGGCCAGAGCGTCATCGTTGAAAAAGAATTGCAGCTGAGCGGTCTGTCTACGTATCCACGACGGTGTGGATTAGGGTGGGTCGAAAATCCCAGAATTAAGCGGCGTATGGTTTTGTTTGCAGTTGACCATAATAGAAAAGAGATCCCACAATGCTGGGGTCTGGTGACGTCACCTTCCATCTCTTTGGAGGCTCCAAACTTGGGTCTAATAGTGAAAAATGGCACTTTTGGCCCTACAGGGACCAAACCAGGCATCGCCCACGATGCGGCTATCTCGCGATGGGTGCGGAATATGTTCCTTTATATTCCTGCAAAGTCTGGGCGATGTGGCTCAACATCTTGGTTAAGCCCGGGCACTTGTTTTGACGCTAAAACAAAGTTGCAAAACACTAAAAATTGGATTTAAGGGTCTATTGTTTACTCAAAGGTCCCATTTACGTATATAAATGGAAAGGGCTCAAAAAATGCAATTTTTTGGTATATATAACTTTGTGATCGGACGAAAATTGTTGCCAGGGCGAAACTTTACACATTTCAGCAAAAGCTCAAAAAGCTCAGAATTTCAGCTTTCAGAGGTGCGCGAATTTTGATCAGGATTTCAGACATTTTTTTTTTTGACATTCTGACAAAATTTACACGACTGGCTGCGCCTCCTACCGGCTGGATGTTGAATCTCTGCGAGACTTGGGGCTGGCCTTCCCTGTCTTCGCTGGTGTACGTCAGGGTCACGGCGTACGTCTCGATGGGCCCGCCGTTGGACTCGCACGGCGGGTAGCCCACGATGGTCAAGTCCCTCGCCAACTGGCCGTCGCAGAGCTCCGTGTGGTCGCTGTCCACGATGTCGAACGAGACCGGGCTGGGTGCTGCCAACGGACAGCAGTCAGGGCCCAATTCGCTGGCATTGCGTTGTTTCACCGAGATGGTTCACGCAAACGCGAAGGGAAATGGGGGGGCATTGCTCCTCGAACGCTTGAAACCTTATACCTTACCTTATACCTTACCTTATACCTTATACCTGAAACCTTAAACCGTATACTTCGTATACGAAGTAATTTGAGCATACATTATACAAAATAAATTACTTTGTTATACGAAGAAATAGTTCGTAGTTCACGAAGTATTTTCTTTGTAAACATGTGTATGCTCAAAATACTTGGTTATAACAAACTGCTTTTCTTTGTAAGGCCTAAAAAGTTTGTAAGGTTTTCTCAGTGCGCGTGTAGTACCAAAGTATCGCATCATTCGGTGCGATGAAACCGCGGGTTAAGACGCATCCCTCCAATTGACGCTACACTCTAAACGTTTGGATTCTCAGCGTATGCTCTGAAAAGAGGCACGCTTACCCCTGGGTGGCGTTGTCAGAAGCTGGCCAGAGCTGCTAGGCGCGCCGCCCAGCGATTCCAACGTCAGCGTAAACGTTTCGCCGCCCGGGAGGACGTCGAGCATCCCCCCACAGCACCGGATAGTTGCAAAATAATTAACAAGCAAAGCGAAGCAAAGCCCTTGTTAGGCAGGAGATGGCCCGACGAACGTTTGCACTTTCTTCTATAATTAACAACAAATCGAGTTTTTGTCCAAACACCAAGCTTTATATACCAAAATTTTGCATTTTTTTAGATCTTTCGAACAGTATGATCATATTGGATCCACAGGTAATACATATTCTCCTAAAGATCACTTTTTAGTGTTTTTGAGCTTTCGCTGAAATGTGTAAAGTTTCGCCCTGGCAACAATTTTCGTCCGATCACAAAGTTATATATACCAAAAAATTGTATTTTTTGAGCCTTTTCCATTTATATAAGTATACGGGACCTTTGAGCAAATAATAGACCCTTAAGTCCAATTTTTAGTGTTTTGCAACTTTGTTTTAGCGTTAAAACAAGTGCCCGGGCTTAACCAAGATGTTGAGCCACATCGCCCAAACTTTGCAGGGATATAAAGGAACATATTCCGCACCAATCGCGAGATAGCCGCATCGTGGGCGATGCCTGGTTTGGTCCCTGTAGGGCCAAAAGTGCCATTTTTCACTATTAGACCCAAGTTTGGAGCCTCCAAAGAGATGGAAGATGACGTCACCAGACCCCAGCATTGTGGGATCTCTTTTCTAATATGGTCAACTGCAATCAAAACCATACGCCGTTTAATTCTGAGATTTTCGACCCACCCTAGTGTGGATTCAGCCGGTCCCTGCCCCAGGTCAAGCCCATGATGTCACGATCCAGCGAACTCTGTTGATCACGCGCGGCAATAACAACTAGTCTAAAGCGTGGAGCTGCTGCGACCTGCTGTGAACGAATGGGAGCAAAGAGGCTGACACAGTCTAAACATAATCCAGGTATTTTTCGAACGCCTGCGCGTTACTTTGGTCACAAAATATTAAGCAGCCGTATAAAAGCCGTCCATTTCTACCCGGGAAATTTCTCCCATCACAGCGCACCGCCTGCACTTCGCCGGGTAGCACTTGTGGCCTAACCATACGTCGCACGTGACTAAGAGTGAAAATTTGCTCTCATTTTCACTAAAATAAAATCCATTTTTCAACTTAAAACGGCTCTGGAGCCTGAACCAAAAATCGTAGACTGTTTCCGTGACCGCCATTTGAAAGAGCAACCTTTTTTCTATCAAAATACATGGGTTTAGATTTTTTGTGACGCAAAGCAAAAGTTTGGCAGGCCTCTAAAACATTAAAAGCGGAGAAAAAAACACTTTTTTGAGCGTAGAATGGACCCAGTTCCGTTACCATTCGCTAAAAACGCATCCCGTAGGGTTCTTTCGGTCGGCCTGGATCCCGAGAAAAAAAAGTCTCCGGGGGCAACAAGCTAGGACCAACACCGGATGCGCAGGGCTTCAAATACTCCAAAGTTGTATTTTGTTTAAAATTACGTCAAATTTACAACTTTCAGCCATTGTAGCGACCCCTAAATATTTTTCGATCGGTCTCAAATTTGGTTTGCGGTGGTTTTAGGCAGGAATGAACCCTTTTCCGGGTGTGCCGGTATGGAATTCAAAAAAACGTGCATTTCAATACCCCTTATTCTGTGGTCTGCAAACAATATTTACTGTAGACCACAAAAATTATAATCTGTACACCACAGAAATATTTTTCTGTAGACTACAGACTAACTTTTCTGTGCATCACAAAGAATTTTCACTGTTATTGTAGAATAGTTTTACTGTGTGCACAGACAATATATTCTGTTGTCATAAAAAAATTTTCTCGTATCTGTCTACTGATAATATTAAATTTCTATTGCTGTAGTAAATATTTCTCTGCAATACTGTATTTTCCTTCATGAGATTATCTGCAGCTCATAGAGAATTTTTTCAGCAAGTTACAGTAAATTTTTACTATATTATAGTTACGCTCTAAAATCACTAAGCCGCAGAAAAAATTTTCCATTATATAGAAAAAAAAGTCCATAGAAGATTGAGAGTGCAAAAAATTTTGATGTTGTTTGCCCCTTATTGGCGAAGTATTACATAGCAATTTGAAAAGCTCAACGTTCCAAATCATTGCCTCCCAATATTGCGAACGTTAGTCTTCACATTTTATTAACTAACTTACTCACAACAGGAGTTCGTAATGCAAAGCCATAGAATGCTTTCTATTGCAAAGATCTTTCCTTTGCAAGCTTCCATGAGTGTTGTCGAGGAGGGATTGCATAGAACGAAGTGTGTGACGTTCCACCGTGCGCACGGTAATATTAATCAGTTTTGCAGCCTCTGGATTTGATGGATTACCAAATAGGTTCCGTCGGCCCAGTCCCAAATTCCTGGCCGCAAGGATCGATTCCAACGAGAATACCTCCATCCGCTTCCACGCGGCGGTGAGCCTCGCGAAGCCCAGCATGCAGGCAAACATGGGAATCGGGAGGAAGATGGTGAAGACGCTGGCCATGAGCGCGGTGCCCTCTCGCGTTGCCTGCTGCAGGGTGTGGCCATCCCCGACGCCCCTAGCACGCCCCGCGGGACAGGTTAAAACAAAGACAATCTACGTCCTTCAGGGCATAAACAGTATTTCACGCCCTTCAAGGGCATTAGGCCTAATCGTTTTTGAAAGGGCATTTTGCCTGAAACTCTGGTACCAATTGATCCATGAAGCGGAAGAAGGGGATACGTAACTCAATCTTCATCATTTTTTAGGAGAAACAAAAAGCTGTTTGCGGGGTTAACTTAATTCAATCTGATGAACCATGCACTGTAAAAATTAATATCCGGAATAAACGACGGATCCTTCGGCAAAAAAATTGCCAACGGTTCCTTCGTTAATTTACGAAGCTCTTCGTATATTTACAAAATCCTTCGTTATTTTTTTGAAAGATCTCTGCCGATTTTCCAATCACAATGGAAATTTACGAAGCACCTTCGTAAATCTACAAAGATCCTTCGTAAATTTACAGGAAACCTTCGTTTATAAACAAAGAAACTTCGTTAATATACAGAGATTCTTCGTAATTATAATTAACGACGGATCCTTCGGCAGAAAAAATTGCCAACACTTCCTTCGTTTATTTACGAAGGTCCGCCGTAGATTTACGAAGACCCGTCGTAGATTAACGAAGCCCGTCGTAAATTTACGAAGCCCTTCGTAAATTTACGACAGATTTTGTAAATTTACGATTTTTCTTTGTAAATTTACAAAGAACCTTCGTAAATTAACGACGAACCTACGTTGATTTACAAAAGTTCCTGTAGGAAAGAAACATTTACAGTGCACTTTTGGACATTCCCGAAAACCCTTCGGAAAATATTCCGTCGTAAATTCACAACATATTTTTTACAGTGTGCAATGGGACAATTCAAATGGAGCTGAAGTCTGCGTATAGTCTGTATTTCTGTGGTCCATTTTTGGAGTAACCTCTTTATTCCAACCAGTGATGCGGAGTTAAGTTGAGTTGATTCTTTTTACATTAGATCACAAGTTGAGTTTTCTCCTTTTGCCGCTTTGAGCAATGGAATTTTGTGGCGAGTTACCTCCATTTTCCGATAAAATTTAGACTGTAATAGGGGTCAAGTTGAGTTATATCCATTTTTCAAGTGGATTTTCTCCTATACTGTTAGGAATTGGGTCTAAAATGATGCAAATCATCCTGAGGCACAATAATACTAGGGGTACGCGCCGTTCAGTCTGGGCGCGTAGTGTGGCTGAGCGATGCGAATGGACATTTTTTGTGCACTTTGGACTTTGCTTGAGTAGACAAAACGTCCATCTTATGGGCTCATATTCAGTGAACTTTAGACCAGGGGTACAAATGGAAGTGATTTTCGTTATCAGAACACCAAAAACTGCTAGGATCAATGTCAAACTCGATTTAAAAATTTTGGTCCAAAATTGGTCAAAATTCGGTTAAATATGAGTCTGGGAAAAGTTTGAAGGTCATTTTTGAGTTCAGCACATCGAAAACTGCAGGAAACTGCAGGAAATGTAAAACTAGACATGAAAATTTTGGTCCAAAATGATCTAATTTGCGATGAAAATATAAGTCTGGAGTCGAAATGAAAGTGATTTTCGTTATCAGCACACCAAAAACTGCGGGGATCAACGTCAAACTCAATTTAAAAATTTTGGTCCAAAATTGGTCAAAATTCGGGTAAGTGTGAGTCTGGGAAAATTTTGGAAGTAATTTTTGAGTTCAGCACACAAAAAACTGCAGGAAACAATATAAAACTTGACTTGAAATTTTTGGTCCAAAATGACCTAATATGGGATGAAAATATAGGTCTGATGTTAAAATGGGAGTTATTTTCGTTATCAGCACTCAAAAAACTGCAAGAATCACTGTACAATTCATTTCAAAAACTTTAACAAAAAATCAGTTAAATTTTGGGTTAGGGGACATTAAGATGTTAATATTGAGGTCAGCGCACTGAAAACTACAGGGAAATACATAAATCTCAACTTGGAAAGTTTTGGCCCAAATTGCGTAGCTCTAGATGAAAATGTAGGATTGGCATTGAAATAAATGTAGTTTTTGTGACCGGTACACTGCAAACTACATACAATACTTCAGATTCAATTTCTGTATATTGTTCCTATTTGTCTTCATGAAGCACCCTCTGTCGTCACCAATTTCCTGATGCCACACCAAAGCGAATCCCTCAGTCGAGTAAAATTCAATTGCCAGCATTGAATCGCTTAATTGGCTACTCGTATGCTTGGGTCACTATTCGATAACTCTTTTTTTCTTAACTCATGAACTCACAATTTTATAAGTTATAATTATGAAATATTTTGTCATTCTTTCATTGTGAACTAGTGAATAAAACAATATTGATTGGAACATGTTATCACAGTAAATATCACGAGAGTCAGTTTAGGGTAGGCTGATCTAAACCAGTTAACGGGGACCAATTATTGTCAAATCCAGTGATTCGTCACATAGAGTCCAATGCCAAGGCTACCCAAGGCTTAATGAACCGACATAATTTATCTTACTCATGTAAACAATAC